CCAGGTTACCCTTTAGAGGAACAAACTTCCTGTGCAACATCTTCCAGCTCAGACGAACTGCACGCTGACCATTCTGAGCACAACAAAGAGAGGAAATCCCTCCTGAGGTATGTTCAAGGTGAGTTTTCAGGACGCTGAAATGACTGTTCACTATCTCTGACTATAAACTTTATCAAAACGAAAGCTTTCGGATTAATGTTGAGAATGTCTGAATTCTGAACACAAAATGGCTGCTGTTTCCCTTATAATGAAGGCATAACCTTATAGAGAAACACAAATTTGCAGTGTATTCCGATGAATCCTTAGAAAATGAACATTTCTCATTTATATTTTCTTTTAATTTCAATTTATTAACTTAAAGCAGTCCATGTGCAGCAACATTTAGAACTCTTGCCTGGATCCAGTAGGGGTTCGACCCTCATGGATTAATTGTATTTATTCAGCAATACAACCAACAGGCTTAGCGCACAGTTTTACACTCGTACACCATTAGATGAGCACTTTAAAAAAAAAATCCCATTATGCATGTGAATGTTGTTTTACAGAGTGAAATATCGCCACGGAAATAATTAGCCGACATCACAATTACAAATGTACATGGGGATCATTCAGTTTCTCTCAAATCTCTACTGATGGTTAAAAAACGTGGAAAACGGTTGAAATAAGGAAAAACAAGTTCAGCATTTACTTTCCAGCATTGGTTCAGAGGCAAGTCTCTGGTTCTCACCGTCGCCCCCTCTGGCTCCATCTGCTGGCGTGGGCGAGCGCCGTTCCGGGGCGAGAGCCTCCCGAGCCTTCACGCCGAGTACGTCCCACCTCTCCGGGAGGATCCCCTTCTTAAACAGTTGCGAAGACGCCCAAGAGGAGACCACCACGGACCCCAGAGAGGACAGCATGCAGATGGTTTTGAACGGCCAGCGCTGGACGTGGACCCCGTCCACCCATGCGCACCCCGGGAACCTCAGGACGGCGGGAAGGCCGAACAGCGGCTCCCCGCACAGCACCCTCATCACGAAGGCCACCACGTAGCCCGCCGCCGCCCCGTAGCCGTTGGACGTCCTGACGAAGAGGACGCAGACCAGCTGCGGGAGCATTATGGTGTAGGTCAGGTCCGAGCTGAGGATCCAGAAAGACAGCACGCC